CGTCGTTGTTGATGTTGTTGGTGTCGTTGTCGTCAGCGTCATTAATGGTGTTTACCAAATGTACGAAAGACAGTCAGACAGAAAGAAAGAAAGCCTAAACGAATGCGCACTGCACTCGCAAGCAGCAGTCGTAGTTTTTGTCTTCATCGGTTAATGCAGCAGGAAAGCTTTAACAGCGCCAACAAACAGAGTAAATCAATTTGCAACGCACCCACATGAATAATCAGTAAACGTAAAGTAAATGCGAGGAAATTCGTATTTTCGTAAATATATTTTTTTATTTATTTATTTTCTAAATCGTACACAAACCGTTAAAATTTAAAAAGTGAAGGGCAACAAGAAAAAACAATTAAAATTAATTTAATTATTTTAAATTAATTAAAACGAAAGCAAACAAAAATATTTAAATATAAAGAAAACTTAATTAAATAAATTAACAAAGAAAAAAATATATAAAAATCAAATACAAAAATAGAGCATAAAAAAATATAAAAAAAAAAATTTAAATCGTTGAATTAACAATGAGCAACACTATGACCGCACATGAACCCATCAACTATTTGGACAGCATCCTTAATGAGGAGGAGAAACGCTGTGAATATAGTCATCAATGGCGTAATTTCACAATTTCACGGTCGGGACGCTTTAAGTCAAAAAATAAAAAACGCGACGCTGTCGTCGATGCTAAATTATTCGATTCAGCCGCACAAAAGTCCAACGATGAAAGTAACAATCGCAGCAACAATGCAACTGCAGCATACAACAAGGAACAGGATAAGGTGTGTATTTTATTTAATAAAAAAAAAAACAAAAACAAAAAAATTAAATAACAAAATCATATTTGATTATTGTAATTTATTATGTGAAGCTTAATTAATATGCAAAAAAAACAAAAAAAAAATATTAAGAAAAAATTATGTTGCTTAGTCATGCAATGAACGCAAAAGTTATTGTTTATAGTTTTTATGAAATCACAGCTCACCCGGAGATATGTAGGTTCAATACTTGCGAAATGTGCTTGACAATCGTTTATAAACTATTAATTATAGTTTTGCAGTGTATAAAAAATAGTATTGTCAAGAAAATGTTTACAATCTTATAATTAATAATATTTTTGCATTTATAAAAAATTATTATTAAATAAATTTTCAATTATTAATATTAATTAATTAATATTAATATTATTAATTTTATAATATTTATATTATTAATTTTATAATATTTATAATATTATTAATATTAATATTAATTAATTTTTAATAAAAAGATTTTTAAATAGTCGTGAAAGAAAACAACAAAATTTTACTATTTTTAATTAACTGAATTTTTGGCGGATCATATCAAAGACAAAAGGTCTTTTAGAAATATGTTATATATTATATTAATTATATAAAAATAATATTAATATAATATAATTGCCAATAGTTTTTTTAGTATGCAAGAACCATGAGTTGAACTCGTACCCTGCCAAATTTGAAACTCAGATTCAGTGTTAATAAACCAGCTGACTCCAAACTATACTGACTAGTATTGTTCTTACTTTTGTTAATTTGGAGTTTTGTTAATTTGCTAATTTGCTTTTGTTAATTTAACAAATTTACTTGCTGTGTTATATGAGAACGAAGTTATAGATAAGCTATCGTAGAATTGAATTAAATAATTGTAGTTATTTTTAATTGTTAATTTCAATACTATTATTTTCGTAGAGGAATTATTTATTGTGTGCGCTGTATTATTATTCTTTCTAGTGTATAGATCCTTATATGAGAACTTAATACAAAGAAGTTATGATAATGTTACGCTATAGCTTATTTTTTTTTTTCTAATATAAATATTAAAATTAAATGAAATTAAAATTAAATTTTTTACTGAGTGTAAATTGATAAGTAAGGTTAATTTTAAAGATGAATCTCTAACAGTCTCCACATATATGCATGTTTGTAACATATATGCAAACATGAGTGCTATTAGCTGACACTTTGGATATTTCTTTTTATGCTCTTGTTATTGGTGTTAATTTATTTTTCTTAATATTAATTTGTCAACAACATTTGAGAGTGAAGTGAAGCATAAGTGTTGACAGGAGAGGGTTTATGGTTGAAATCCTTACTAAAAAATTTTGAATAATTTTACACAAAATAATATGGATGTTTCTAAATAAATTTTTTCACTTGAACTTTGAATTACTTTTCAAAAGCCCTGCGTTCTCAATAACTACCTGTAGGTATATGCTACTGAAGTGAGTGGGCTGGCTTTGTAAAGGATTGTTTAATATTGTATTGCATTGAAACATAAAAATTTATGACGTTATAAGAAGGATATATTCAATTTCTAGTCTAATTAGTTTAGTTAATGATATAAATTTTTTTTTGTGTTGGTTGGTTGACTGACAGTAGGGCTGACCGACAGATATCCTTCCGCCACATATAGTATTTTCAATCATATTTTATAATTAGAATGTTCTGGAAAATTTTATTCACATTTGATTGGTGAATATAAATTCCAAATCTACTATGCCCACACCTGTCATTCGTCCATATTTTTCTATTTTCATTATTCTTCATAATAACAAATTCTTAAGAACTAAATTTAGATCTACTAGTTCTCAGGCTTTAAAACTTTCCATATAAATTGTATTATCTAAATATTTTTCTATACAAATTTCCAATTATTTCTGGTGTTTCTCTTACACTTTTCACCTTCATTGCATTACGAGTACTACCGACAGTTATGTATCTTATATAAACCCAATGTAAATAAATGTCGGAAATTAGAGTTACTTTGTTATATAAAATTTCTTTGGAATTATAGCGTTACGTGTAAAAACAGTCATTCCGTGAAGAATCGATTCGTTTAAGTTGTGATGATTTGCAAATGCATTGTCTCGTTTTTTTTTTTTTAATGGTAAAAAGTTGTCTCAAATAATTTCATTAAATATTCTTATCAGAAAAACTTATCTCTAATTTATTTCAAGAGAACTACTTTTTATTTTTATATTTTTTTCTTTTTTTTTTTTGTTGTTAATAATAGCGATTCATAAGTGTTCTATAAATAAAATTTTACGAATGAAAATTAATTCCATTATAAAGAAAAATAATTAATTTTTTTAAATGTATAACAGTGTGAATTTTTTTTAAAATAAAGTATAAATAAAATTGTAGATTTCATAAAGCTTTTTTTTTTTGAAATGTAATTATTATTGCTAATACAGATACTCTATTATTTCTATATAAAAATCCCTTTATATGGTGTAAATAATATAATGATAATTCATAACAATTATAGATGGGATAGTTTCCCCGTTATTTATACATGCGGCTTGGTTCCACTTACTTATAAACGTTGATAGGGAAAGAAACATTTGACCGAGGCCAAGTTGTTCTGCGATATAGATCAGCTCTTTTTGTAATACTATATCATCCTGCCCGAAAAAACCTCGCAGTTTCTATTTCTACAAGTTGAAGTATTAAAAAAAAATTTTTAATTATAACAGTAGCACCATTGACAGCTTCTACGTCAATATTTAACGTCATTTGTCATGTAGTTTATTACATAGACTTTAAATTTCAATAATTATTTGGAGAATTTTTTAGATTTTGAAGACTCGAGACTCCAAATTAATAAAATAGTATATGTGCCGAAGATATGTCTTCAGTATATAGGTGGTAGACTATACTCTACACTCTTATATTTACAGTTGGTAAAACACTTGAAGTATTGGGATACGAGTTCTAAGTGTTGAAATCTTTTATTTATTTTGGACTAATTGTAAATAAAGAAATACGCTAGCAGCTGTTTAAATCCAACAAAACCTATTAAAGTCAATCAAGGCTCTATAAATTTAGAAACCTTACCATAAGCATTCCTAGATACTGCTGTATAATACAATATTGCTATCAGTTTTCACATTAGAATCCAAAACTTGTGTTTAGCAAAACGCATTCTAACCTTTCAACCGCAATCTAAAGAAAAGTACTATAGAGCATTGTTGGCCCATATTTACGCAATAGCAACTTCGGAGATGCTTTAACCAATAACTATTCAATGTAGTTACTAAGATTTGAGTTCGACAGACTTTGGTAAGCGGGTCATGTAGCGCGTCATTATTTCTTCACAGAATGATGTGGGAATTTTGATTTGGGAACTTTGAGCCTCGGACTGTTGTTGAGATTTATTAAAAGAAGACAGAACTGGTTTTAGTGCCATTCACATTCACAATTCTATTATGTCGTTCAATAGTTATTGGAAGGAGCAGTATTATTTTGCGAAGCCATTTGTTAACACAAATATCCATATATTGTTCGCTACTCCTGTCGCGGACCTAATTAGCTTTTCTACAAAGTGGAGAATAATAATAACAACAACAGTCTTTTGTATGTTTAGTGTAGAGTATCAAGGATCAATAACAACATCGATCATATGTTAGAAAGATATTAAAACATTAGGAAGATAATGGATTGATTAAGTGATCAAATGCTCATCTCTATAAAGTATCGTTGGCGTATGGTCGCAACCCTAAAAATAGCGTCAGTCAAAAAGCAAAATAGTAGGGCTAGTTTTAATTATTAATCTTTCTAATGAACTTTTTCGAACATTAGTGAATTACAACAACAAAAAATCATTTTATATTATTCTAATTAATTGAATTTTTGAAATACCCATCATTAGTGGTCTTAGAAATAATTCTTGTATTTAATTATTCATAAATAATTTTTTGAGACTGCAAGTACCAGGAATTGAACTCGTGTCCTGCCAAATTTGAAGCTCAGAGTCAGCGCTTGTTCAACCAACTGGCCCGAAGCCGTACTTGACTTTTATGTTCCCACATTTTTCTGAAGTTCTGTTACTTTGCTGTGAAAGTTTTATACTTTCAGAGGTAAATAAATATGACCACTGCCGATATTAAACTACAGTACATGTTTTGATGATATTTTAATATTTTGGAATCAAACTTATATCGCATAGGAAAAATATGATTGCATCTGTCTGCGGTGAATCCAAGTACCTTATTTTATTATTAGAATAGCTTTTTTACGGTTTCTGTGTTTTGGCAGCCGGTTGGTTTAATTAGTAGATAGGTATGACGTTGGTAAAACAAATTTCAGGTTTTCGATTTTCTAAGACGATAACACAAAATCAATTTCACGTTTATCTGATATTTTTTTTAATTAATTGTTAATTTATATAATATATAGAGATATATACATATATATAAACCAATATTTTTTTTATCAATATCATTCAAATTTATATACATAAATCTTATAAAAATTTATTATTATATTTTATCAGAAAGTTTATTATAAGAGCTTCATATACATATATCATTCGATGTATGTTTTTTTTGTTACATGGTATGTATATTTTCATATATGTATGTTTTTTTTTAAATGAAGATTTAATTGTTTTAATCTGGCTTTGACTAGTTTTATGAAATTACCCTTTTCCTTCCCCATTTGGGTATCTCAATTGAGACTCACGACTTACTAAATATAATTAATTTGATAAGTAGTATAAACCACATAAATATATACATTAAAGATTTTTTAAATTTATTTATAATAAAAATATTTTTGTAAAAAAGATTTTATGAGTAAATTTATTGTAAAAAGGAAATGTAAAACGGAAGTCCGATATATCGATAAGCCACTGTGACGTACTTAATTTTGGGTAATTGATGATAAATGAACTAAAAAATTTAAATATAAAAGCGAACAAAGAAAAGACTCATTAAACTCTACTAGTTTGCGATATTAAAAAAATATATAAAATAAATAAA